TAGCCTCTCATTGTGGTTCAGTGCAGAAACTACATTAACCAGAGACGATAATGGCAGCACTGTATATGTCAGGCTGTGAATAGGAAATGAATTGTAAATTAGCATTCACAAGTTAAGGTCATAATGAACCATGGCTCTAATCTCACTACTGTATGTCACAGCTGTAATGGTGAAAAATGTTAAACACTTGGCACATAATGCTCTTCATAGGAAATTCACTGAATACACTGGTTTGTTATACAGCGCTTAGAATATCATTTCTTTTCTGGAATAAATTATTTTCATGCCTCCATGCCAGCAACAGTCAAGGCCAGAGGCGTTATGGTTTCGGATTGTCCATCTGTCCCTGCTTTACTCATGGATGTGATATCCACGTCTAGGAACATCTAGGAACGCCTTGAGGGAATTTTCTCTAAATTTGGCACAAATGTTCACTTGGACTCAAGAATGAACAGATTTGGTGGTCAAGGTCACTGTGATGTGATGTGTTTGGCCACAACCCAAGAATTCGTACACACAGATGTCTAAATGGATAAAAGAATCAAGTGACACCATTTTATATCCAAAAGGTGAAAAACATTAGTCTTTGTTGTCACCCTTCAAATCACCTTGTGGTTACTGTATAGAAGCAAGTGAAGCATCATTGTATGTAAAGATGGAGGACTTGACTGTTACCTAAAAGTGAAACTAAAGCATCATGATCACAACCTGGTGGCTGGGTGCAGTAAAGGTCATAAATCCCACCTTCTCCATGTTAGTGGATGGGACATGGACCAAACTAAAAAGTGGAAGTCAAAGAAAGTTTTCTCAAAGATGATTTTTATCATTTAAGGTAGTTTTTATTACTCTGATGTATGTCTAAGCGCTTTTAAAATGTATTTGATGCTATTAAAACAGGCTGAAACATCATGATTGACAGCGGACTTACTAGCGATTGGTTGTGGGTGTGTTTCTACGAGACCTTGCTCCAGCAGCTCCATCCCCTGATTGCTACTGTGCAGACTCTGACACTAAATGTGTAAAATGGCAGCGTTCGTATGCCAGATATTTTGGCTTCACTTCTGTATAGCGAAGGGCAGTAGTCCATCTTTCTCCATGATGTGAACACACACAGGGAATTTGACTCATCCATTATAGTTACACATTAATACAGAACAAAAACAACAAAGTTAAATCAATGTATTTCATGATATCTCCTTTACATCTCAAAATACACTTAATATTTGTTTAAGTCTACACAACATGTGTTATGCGAGCTGGATAGAGATGGCTGTAAACCATGACTCACTGACTGACTGGCTATTACCATGAGGCGGTAGTTCCACATCACTTCTGAGTTGAAGAATGACATTTTTGGACATAAAGAGGGCTGTTGTAGTGCTGCTTTCACTCCCCTTTCACAGCACAAAGAGGACACACTGTCTTGTTGTTAAGTTGAAATGTGAAGAGTGTCAAGAGTCTATCTCGAAGAATGCTGGGAAAACTCCTTGATCACGTCGTAGCCATGGACAATCCTCTCTTTCATTGGAATTTACTGGACATAACAAGTTGTTGGTCATAGTTATTCGATTGTTTGGTATAGGCTTGTGTGTACTGATTAATTGCATGTCGCCCGTGGATTCCTGAGTCTTACGCTTAATGTCGGTGTGAAAAATGTCCTTGGCCATCACAACTTCTCTCGCTGCTTTACCCTTGATGTTGTCTCTCTGTTTTTCTTCCTTCACCCATCTCCCCTGTATTACCTTTCAATACGTATTTTATTTGTTAGATATTCACATGTTGCAGTAAGCACTTGTCCAACCCTTTTATTTTACTTGTTTATCTGTTTATTTAATAGTATAAAATAGTATAAAATACCAGATGTAAATTTGCAGGAGTTGGCAAGAATGCTTATTTACATTAGTTATTTGGTAGGTAAGAAAATACATATATATATATATATATATATATATATAGACACCAGTATACAAATACACAAATAAAAAACAAGGACAAAACACCCTGCACTTGAGCTGTTTTATGTTCAATTTATGATTTTGGAGTTACTGGCACATGGTGCAAAAGAAAATATCCTCCATGTCCCCCAAGGAAGTAGTAAACTGTCTAACTAGAGAAAACTGATATTGAGCTTTTGAAGACAATGAGACATATTTTTTTCAAATAAAACAATCCAATACCACTGGCTATTTTTCTTTTTCTGAATCATTCATCAGTTATGCTCACAGTTTGGTGATATTTCCTCAGATTCTCCCCTCTCTGTATCTGAATCTGCTTCTGTCATGGTTGCTGAGAGTTGCTGATGATTTTGTTGGGCTGGGCAATATGTGGGCTAAATATATTTATATATATACATAGAATTATATTGATATACATGTATATTGAACCTTTTTTATTGCTATAATTGCAATAATTATTGATTTTGTTTTATTACCCAGCCCTGTCATAAATAAAAGTTAGTTAAATTAGTTAAATTCTGCATTCTGCATCCAACTTGTGATATGAGTGAGAGCTCATCTCTGCATTGTCCTTCAAGGGTCACAGGCCTGACACTTCCGTGTCTGCGACCTTTTCATGCTTGTTATAGACTGCACTTATCACTTATTCGTCAGCAGCTCTGTCGAGAAAGGTCTGGGCCATAATGGCACCCTGTTAAATCTGGAGATGAGATTTTTAATGGAAAAGAAACTCCTCTGTGCTTTGTTGGATCCTCAGACATCACAGCCGTTCTGCCCCCTCCCCTTATTATCAACTTCTGTAAGATGTGGCCTAAAATTACTCCTCTGATAGCCGGCCACATGTTTGTTATTTCGTGTGTGGATCCTGTGTTCCTCATGGCACTCTGTGTAAACTGAATCTGAACTTAAGCATATGGTTTAGATTACTCAAACTATGCCTGCTAATGTCTATGGATGAAATACATTCAAGAGGACATAATAGGCGGGTCGCTCTTTGGTCCGAGATATTTACCTGAACTAAGTGTGTCTCACACACAGCCCCCTCTGTCTCTGTAGTCCCACTTTAATTGGAGCCGTGTGACTCCTGGGTAATAGACTGTGCCTGACCATGCACAGCTGAATGGAGGTTTTCAGGACAGACTCTCTGGCTTTCTCTGCATTATAGCAGGCTGGCTTGGATTGCTGATGTAGGTGTTATCTCTGGATCAGTCCCCTTCACTCTCAGAACTACCTACTACACAAATCAAACACTGTAACATCTCAAGTGTTTGAAATCCACCTTAGATTAGAGTGGTTTTGAACGCACTGTCATCACAACATGCTACTGCCTTCAGTTCCTCTGACAGACTCTTACATTCAGCTTTAGGCATTTACTTTGATATGCCTGTGGACTTCTGCTAGCAAGCAATAGAAGAGAGTTATGTTTGAAGAGGCAGAATATTTTCTCTGCAGCTCCTCGCTATGCATTTCAAGTTGCATATCCATAGATGGCACTGTGCAGCAAGCAAACTTCAAGTCTCATGCATGGTTTATTACAGTGTCACCTCCCAGAGCCTTTCCTCTCACATTCCTGATGCTGTAACTCCCCTATCCCCCCCCACGACCACTCCTGTCAATAACCCAATAATCTGTGGCTGAGATCGCAGCTGTGGTTTTAAGGAATTGTTCAATCTGATTCGAAGGAATTTTTTTTTTTTTTTTTGAGGTCAGAGTGACTAATACTGGATGTGGTAATAGGAAACGACTATCTCTGCTCTCCCATCCAATCTTTATGTTATGACTGGGGTTACACACACAGTCATCTGATAACAGGAGTCTGGAGGAGGAGGAGGTTTGGATGAGGTTACAGTAGATCAAGGCTGGAGTAGCATGGAGGAGTGTTGCCAAGGGAGGCAGTGCTGTTGCCACTCTCAATGGATTTATGGATGTAATTACATTCACCTCTTTTCACATTACTTTCTGCATCTTTAGTTTTATCCTTGAGCGTGGACTCTGGAATGTATTTGCTTTTTACACAGGGTGGAAGTAGAGTGCTTGAAACTTGCACAGTTAAGTTGCTCAGGAGATGTTTGTGTCATGGTTTAGTATTTAGTCTAGTGTCTTTGCTGGATCTCCTGTAAGTATAAACAATTAAATTGCTGCTCTTATAAAAAAAAAGTGAGCTCTTTCCCATCACCTAAATAAATAACCCCACTTTTTGTCCCATTGAGGCAAATTAAAGGGACAAGGGGCAAATCTTGTCACACACTCAAATTACGTAAAGGATCCGTGTCTCTACTGGGGCGACTGTGTCAGTGATTTATTGTAAAGTTCGGCACCGTGAGCAAGCATTCTGCACGGAGCTGTGGGATTTTCTAATTCTGTCACGGTGCGAGCAGAGGGAATGGAGCAGCCGGCTAACCTCAGCTCCTCGCTAAAGACAAAGACAGTCTTCAGAGAACTCCACCACTGTCCCAGATACATCATCTGACTCGCACCAGGATGCCTGGACCTTAATCTATCCGTGTGTGTCCTCGCAGCAATGACAGGGTATTATTTCACCGGACCGCTCTCAGATAAACATGCAGAAAAGCTCCTTTTTGCTGTGTGTTTCAGTGTTTTTTTAAAGTTCACTAAGAGGCTAATTGTTGTGGTTTCCTGCTGTAGTTTACATTCCCAGAGCTGCCGAGCTGAGATTTTACTGGGAGTCTGTAACAGACAATATTCTGGGTTGTCAGACAGACCAGAGCTGCTACCAGCGCAGGGAGCTGTCTGAGAAAGTGTGTGTGCGTTAGTGTTTTTTTTTATGTTTGTGTGTTAGTTTTATGTGAGCTACGGAGTGCAACCAAGCCCGTCCAACTAAGACACCACCGCCTCTCATCTCTTGTCCCATCTGGAACGCGTTAATCCAGCGAGAACTCTGACTCGCTCTCTCTCTGGGTCTCTAACTGTCTCGTCGTTTTGTTTCTTTCCCTCTCTGCCTGTCTGACACTCTCTCTCTCTCTCTCTCCCTCTCTCGCTCTCTCGCTCCCGTTCCCCCCTGCATCTTTCGGTTCATGCTGGCAGGTCCAAGCAGGAAACCCAAATATGTGGAGAGTCCTCGCGTTCCCTCTGATGCCATCGTGTCAGCACTGAGGAAGGTGGCCGATAACAAGGAGTCCTCGCACAATGGTGAGTTTTGCCTTTTTGTATCTGTCAGCTTGTGCTTTTTGTAGACACTGCAAAAATATTGTGTCTCGAGATTAAATATGTTTATGTAGGAGACCACAATGGTGCCTTTTATATGTCATCTGTCTTCATAGCTGCATGTTTGTTGTGTGTTAGAGCATGAGTAAGAATATCATAAGAATAGCATAAATGACTGCATGAGTGTTCATTTAACGATCCAGGCTTCTGAGCACTGGTTCTTGCCCTTTATACGAAGAAACAGTTGAGTTGTGTTTATTTGAAAGTGTGTGTTTAGATTACAGAAGAGTCAGTTTTCCTCTGTGTGGAGACACATTGTCGCACCAAAGCTCAAAATTTGTTTTCCATGCGAATGTAATGAGGACAAGCTCTTTAACTGCTCGCTAACTTAGCACTTATATATATGTGTGCTAATGTGCTTTTTGTGTTACTCCTGCCTATTCTCTCGTGTGATGGGGATTGTGTGTTGTTGCCCTAAATGCTATGTTTTGATTTCTGGAAGAGCGAGATGTCTCAAATTCCTGCTATAGGCTGAAGCGGGGTTATAGGATGTGATATTTTCAGCAGCACAGACAGTGTTCCCTCTCATTGTACATATGCAGTAACCCAGCACAGCCCAGTCACTGTTGATGTTACACACCAAGGCACGAGGGTGTGTCCAACATTCAGCTGGCACGGAGAGTGTTTCGGCTTAGAGAGAGAGGGCTACCGGCAGATAGTGGACGCCAGATAAATGTTGTCTCGTGACAGCTGGTGTGCTGCCGACTGTTAGCGAGATAGTGTAATGACACACCTGGTTTGGATTTCTCACAGTTTGCTTATGGGCAGAATCTTTGCATGTTGGGCAAATAATGATTACAAATTCTTTGTGTTTACGTTCAGATCCACTGCAGTTTGCACAAACACCCTTCTCCCTGTTCTGCCTAGTATTCCTCCTGCTCTGCCCTCGTCTGTAGACCTGAGATGCCCCTCGAATCTCACTTACATAAACATACACATTCACATGCCTGTGCTGTCATAGAATGAATCACTCCTAAGCTTTTCCTTCCTACCTCTCTTTGCTTCCCAACACAGTAAAGAAAAATATGCTTAATGTGAGTGAACATAATGAAAAAAAAAAACAACGGTGTCTTGTTGTTTTGTTCTTAAACTTGTGTTCTCAGGGCTGCCTCTTCTCTAATTTCAGTCTCGGCTAAAATTCCTCTAGGCGATATAACAGACCGAGCTATCTCACATGTATGTGACAGATCTACCGACCAACACTCGGGAGAATCTTTTCACTGCAACAAAATGTAGACAATCACCAAACAACTTAAGCCAGTGTCGGTTCTAGGATTTTTCTAAATCAGAGGCCATAAAGGGACCGCAATTTACACAGAGGGGCCAATTACATGTCCAACATCCATGCACAATTCCTGATTCAGTGAGGTGCACATTTAAGTCGTTCCTTTGTACTGTTAGCTCTTTGAGCAAAGCCTCACATCATTGAACATTGTTTCAAAATTGTTCCTTGTTCAAGCAAATTGTGAACTTTTAAAATGCTCAGAAAATATATCATATTTATTATGAGTAATGTTTGTCAGTGACTGACAGTGAAAAGAAAAAGACAGGACTGACAGTACAGGGGCTCTACAGGGGCCAATCAGATTTCTGCCAGTGCCCCCCTGGATCTGCCCCTGACTTCAGTCTCAAATACAGGGAATGATTCTCAGCTATATTGAATTTTGCTTCCTGTGTTGTTCCTCTGGTCTTCTCCCAATGAGGCAGAGAGCAATTACAGATTTGGTCAGTTTATGGCAAATGAGAAATGACACTGCAGAACAGTCATACTCAGCCTTATAAGGGACATGTTTATGGCTCATAACTGTTGAAATACGAGCTCTCTCCTAAAAAGTCTCTCTCCTTGTGCAGCACCAGGTGACCGAGACATTTCAGTCTGATTCCAGTATTGTAAATTGACTCATATTTCTCAGGACTGAAGAAATTGCCTGTTTTTATAGTGCGTGCGTGTGTGTGTGTGTGCACACGCTGTGTTTTACCTGATGTGTGCAGTTAATCAATAAATATAAGCAGATAAGTCAGGCAAAGTTTTCCACCTCCTCCTTCTCACAGCTGTGTTGAGCAGGTGAAAAAGGTTTACTGCTGAGAATTTAAAAACGAACCAACTTACCCAACTCATTATATACAATAAGGCACTGTATAAATTCTGGATTAATGATGGCCAATTGTAGTCGTCAGCTGTAGGATGAGCTGCCATGTATCTGAAAGATATTTGAGCTCAACCACGCATGCTTTGCCTCTCTTTTTCTCTCACTTGAGCAAATTCTTACATTTAATGTTTGATGTAATATGGTGTCTGAAGCTACATCCATACTGCTATGTTTTCATTTTCTAACTAAAACAATCTCTGTCTGTACAAGCATTTTGGCTCCTGATCAGTTTTAATCCCCCAGCATGTGACCAGTCACGTACTCTGGGAATGGAGGTGTAAACAGGAAGCGATTGGTTATTAATCGCAGAGAAAGGCTACAAACTAGAAGCGGCAATGATGAAAAGTAACAGAGGAATTTCTTTTCTTGGCTTTAAGCAAAGACAACAGCGTCAGTAACCCTTGTAATTTATTATCCATGTTGCATTCTACACTGGTAGTTGAGGCTAATGCTGGTTGTTTTCTTCTGGAATGGGGTCATGTGACAGGAGCCTGACAAATCAGAGAGGGCTATATGTCGTGAACAAAAACACCCAGCGTGCGGTTATCAGTGTCTACGTCATCGGAACATCTCAGTCTTTGCCTGTTTTAAACGAAACGTTGTAGTATTGCTGTACACTGAGTTTGTCGAAGGCTTTTTAAACCTCGACTGGATTAATTTGCATTACTTGTGCATCACACATTCCATGTGACAAGGACATAGTCATTGTGTTTTGTCGATGAAGAGAGCAGCTTTCAGCCCATTGTTGCCTATTTCAGAGAGGGCAAACAATGCTTGCTTCTTTTTCTAACTGCTGAGACAGGACTAGATGGTACATTTGACATTGCAGCTTTTGTAACAAGGTCAGCGTCAGCATGGAATGTTGATACCGTGCCGGAAGAATGCAAGTCGGAAAATCCATTGGAAGAACTGGAGAGCTGTGCGACATTTAGGCCAGACATCAAATGAGTTGTGAAGGGGCTTTTTGTTTTGGTAGTGCTGAACGTTGCCTGTCTTGAATAAAAAATAAATAAAAAATCTTACTACACATGTACAGCAGGAGCCATTTTTAGTCATATTTAAGATTTTTCCCACACATTGTGTTTTTTTGTCTTTATTTCTACGGGCTACTCTCAGATATGATTAATGCTTGCATCTGGACTTTGAATGTATTCATTTGCTCTTCTTTTGGGTTGGATGGTCTGCGTTCCATCGCTCTGTGTTGTGGACGACCAGGAATGACTGTAGGCTAAGAAAAGGATTTGACCTACACTAGAGTCACTTCACATAGCATCGCAGTTGAGGAGGGACAGAGTTTCTTGTTGCACATGTGTAAATGCAATGTGTATTTTTATTTTGTCCTCAAGCACACTGATGTTTGTTTATGTGTATATGCCTGTGCGTCCGTGTGTGTGTGTTTGCGACAGACAGTCAACAGTGTTAAAATTGTTTCAGCTGTGGTCCCAAGGCTCTGTCTCTGTCAATCAAGACTGAACCTCAAGTCCTGTCCTCTCCCACAATTATGCCTCTCTTCTACACCTCCCACCATGTTACTACCCCATTGAGACACAAGCTCAAACATCCAGCACCTGTTTCTCCATATACTGACTATCTTGTAAATGCTGAAACTACTATCTTATATGGCGATGTAGCATTTCCACTCAGTGTATTTCCACCACTGAACACATCTGGTTGTGGTAATCCAACCACTCATTGTCAGTTTCCCGTACAATGTCTGTTACTCATTTGTTAACAGCATTAGGAGATTGTGTCATTCACTGTGCTGTTTTGTCTTTGGCAGAATACAGGCCCAGCCATACAGAAGTGTGTGTGTGTGTGCGTGCTGTATGTGGCTCTGTGTGAGCTGGCTGAATGTGATCTGATCTTTTTCTGAATTCCTGATTGAAAACATCTAATCAGAGAAAAGTAATCTGATGCACAATCTCTCAGCCGCAGCTGGGGTCCTGACAGGTTGCATGCAATGAATATTTTTGCATGAATAAAACCATGGCGACTCTAGTAACACTTTTGAATCGGCCATTCATAAGATGATACAAACATTGAGTTATTCATTTTGTCTTTGTTTGACACTTTAGAGAGCTCAACAGTGTGTTTCCAGAAGTAAAAATCGAGATTTTGATTATCTCTATATTATGAGACTATGTTATGCTCCTGTCGAAGTCACTAGACTGTATAATACCAACTGCAATTTCAGAAAAACGTCTTTTATTTGCAATGTCAAGGAGATGTACTTCACTACCTATAATCCTCAGGTACAATAGTGATGTCTCTGATTGGTTGAGCCAATTACCATGGAAATGTTTACCACAACTCCAAAAACGCATGTCGGCTATTATCAGGTCATTCAGCGTTACATTACGTTTACCGCAGCACAAACTAGATTTCCCCAGAGCTTTTTTAGAGTGGAAGAAAAAACATCAAATGTTTTATGGTCATGATTCATCTCATAGCTGCTCATTCTGAGTCCAGACTTAAAACTCTTTCATAAGGATTTGCTGAAACGTTGGTGGAGAAAATTAACTGTAAATTTACTTTCGGATGTAGAGCTGCTCTAAAGTAGCTGGTCGCTATTATGCTCTATTGAGAAATGGAGACAGAGGGGTGAATAAGGAATCAACCAGGTAGGTCACTTCTGCATAAAAGATTTTATTTAGGACCAATTGTGAAGTCTCAAGCCCATTTGTATAATCAAGGCTGATTGTTACCAGTCTATAGAACGCGTGAAGGTATTTCGTCAGCCTTCTTTAACTTTTTCCCCCAAGGGAAAACAGTAAC